GCTGGCCCGGGTTCGATTCCGGGTCTGGTCAAGTGGGATATTGGTGGACAAAGTGGCGGTGGGGCAGGTTTTCTCCGAGTACTTCGTTTTCCCCTGCCAATCTTCATTCCACCTATTGCTCCACAATCACTCTCACCTATCATCTGGGGCTGGTACAATAGGCCAGAAGTGGCCGCAGTACAAGGGACTTAGTCCCACCCCACTAGCAATAAAAAAAAATATTTTGTTATGCTTTACTTGACCCCGCTGTCAGTAGGTCACGCTATCTAGCGACAGATTCAGGATCGCAGTGAGTTGGAAAGCATGTGGAAGAAGCAGTGCTTTCCTGGCATTTGCCTAAGAAACTGAGGAAAGTCACGAAATACCTCAATCAAGAGAGCTGATCTCAGAACCAAGGCATGAACCCGGGCAATCCAGAACACGAACCACGGTCTCTCTCTCTCTCTCCACTGGTTGCAATTTTACTACAAAAATTACCGTTACACACTTAAAGTAGTCTGCACTTAGTCTTCTGTTTTAGTGCGCGCGCATGCGTGTTGAAGTTATTGCTGAGCCATGGACAGCGCTTACGTCAGGGCCCTTCCTCCTGAGACGCAATTTCAGGCATTCGGATTTCTTTGGTTCTGAAATCTCTTGGATGACAAATGCTGACAATAAAAGTGCCACAGGAAACTATTTCAGAATATGTATTAGTATTTGAAAAGCATTTAATGTTCTGTATCATTGACGTGCCGAAATTTTGTTTTCTGGCAGCTTTCATCCTGTATGTATTTACAGTTTAATTAATTTTGCTTCTCTCTTTACACTGTACTTCGCAAGTTAAGTGAAATGTATGAAAAGAAAACTGAATATCGTTAGAGGATATATTTTTTTAATTTATCCATCTGATATTTTTTTTTCCTTGCCACTACAGCCCCAGTGGGCCTGGGCCTACCTCCATGAACTCCGTTCACTTCGGTTTTTCTCAATCTTACACATTTGGTAGGACTCCTTGGGCAAGTGATCAGCTCGTCACAAGGGCTCTACCTGTACACAAACACAGAAAAACGCACACAAACATCCATGCCCTGAGTAGGATTCGAACCCACGATGCCGGCTTCCGAGCGAGCGAAGACAGTGCACGCCTTAGACCGCTCGGATACCGTGACCGGCATCCATCTGATATATCCTTAGTAATTTCCAACACCACACAAGCATAGGAGCTGAATTTCAGACAAACTTAAGTCTCTGATAAGAATTAATTAAGTTTATTTAGTTCATTATCTAAGTAATTAATTTGTTATTTCCTATGTGACCCTTATAAGGAAATGATATAATATAGACTTCGGGCTGATTTAATATGAATTTAACAATAGTCCTTAATATGATTAGACAAATAAGTGTTTATCAGACTTGTTTCCGGCCGTACATTTTCGAAGTAGTTGATGAAAGCGAAGTACTCACTAAAATCCAGTACAAACAAACTTTGCGAGAGCTAAAACTATCTCAGGATCCATGCATAACCGTCAGTTACAGTTCGGACGGGTTGAGTTTCCAGTATTACATATTAACAACAAACTCAGAATACCACGGTGCAAAAATGCAACTCTATATTGTTAGGATTTCCCACAGAACCCATATCAGGCACGTGAAGATAAGCAACTGGGGCCAATTTGCAATAAGAAGCGTGTTCGGCAAACACGAGGAAGCCCATCCGCTGCATAAAGTATTTTTTTATTGGTAATATGGAGGGACTAAGTCCCTTGCACTGCGGCCACTTCTGGCCTATTGTACCAGCCCCAGATGATAGGTGAGGGTGATTCTGGAGCAATTGCTGGAATGAAGATTGGGAGGGGAAACCGAAGTACTCGGAGAAATCCTGCACTAGCGCCACTTTGTCCACCACAAATCCCACTCGACCAGACCCGGGTTCGAACCCGGGCCGCCGCGGTGGGAAGCTAGCGACTAACCGCATACTAACGTATGCTACCTTCAAAGGATTACATTAATTTTACAACCACGCGGTAAAACTTTTCGAAAGGAACAACTCATAAAGCATGCTGTAGAATCCCAGCTTTGACTTCCAGTAGCAATCCAACTTACAAGGAACTTGGAAGATTTTTTCCTGAAGATGTTCTAACTGAATCCAGTTGACGGAACAAAAAAGTAATCCCGGCGCTACAAAATTTCCTGAGAAATAGTGGGTCTGGAACGGGGTCTACTCAGCCTCGTGAGAATAATTGTTGAGCTATTTCAAGGAAATAGCTTCTCCGGTCTAGAAAACCGAAATTAACGGCCGGGAGGATTCGTTGCGCTGACCACGCGACACTCTCTATCCGCTAAAGTTGGAAGCAATTTCACCGACAAGCGGCGGTCGCTCGGTCGGTATAGTTCGCTTGCGGACTACAGGCTACCGAGTTTTTTTTTCTTTAGAGCATCTCTGAAATTTCGATTTATTCGCTACAGTAGTATCTCCTGGAGATATCTGACCATTGTCTTGTTTTCATGTTCAGAGGTTTTAATGTTGCATTTGTCGTACGATGGAGCTCACATTAACATTCACTGTCTCAGAATCGATTGAGCTGGAACAGACCAGAGTGCCTGAGTAGAATTTGATAGAAGAAGAAGAAACGAGTCTGGACCTGTGGCTAATAGAAATGTACATGTTCAATCATATTGCATTCACAAGTACTCTCTTCTGCAAGCGCGTGGAAACAGATGCAGTTATCACAATAGATTTGCTGTCACATTTTTTATATTTGAGTTTCTCTGCCGTTACTTTGCTAAGCGCCAGAGTCAGGTTACTGGCATTTCTACTTCGTGACTCAGTTCACATGGTGATTTCCTTTTACGGAATCAAACCGAACAGCTCTGTGACGTCACTGTCAGTCAATTCCTCTCGCTCCTCGGTACTCATTTCCCTTCCGGCTGTTATCATCTTACCTATTTCTGACTTGACACTGACCGGAGGTCATGCAGCATCGCCTGCATTGTGAAACTATATTACCCATGTAGTGGGCGGGTCTGCTATTTCATATTTGGAAGGTCCAGTGTGCAGACCACATCTCGAAGATCGCATATCTCACAAGAGATTTTTCGTGGTTTTGTTCAGGCCATCCAAGTAAATACCGTCATAATATCTATACAAATAATTAGGCTACAACCGCTTCTTTCCACATGCTTTTCAATTCATTGTTCACTGTATTTCCGGAGAGAGAATTCAGCCTCCGAAACGTTTGTGTTTTGAAATATAAACAGGATGGTATTTTAGATAAAAACACGACGACGGATAATGTCCAAAAACATAATATTTGTATTAATGTGCCATCGTCAGAAACTTTTAGATCTTATTTATTAAGCACTATGCCATGAAGACATATGTGGGAGTTAGGGTGAGCAACTCTCCCGTATTTCCCGGGATCTTCCGTATTAGAGCTATTTTTTTTGGATCTTCCCTGCTCCCATATTGACATTCTATTTCTCCCGTATATTTCTTTAACAATCAAGATCGCAAAATTGTCATTATTATCGACAGTTTAGACTTAGAGGTACTCATCGATAAATATCGAAAAATTACTTATAATAATCCATAGAAAGTGTAGTATCCCGCCGTACAGTTGGCTGAGATCTTCCAAGCCGGAGTGCGAAGTCTGACGAGGCCAAGGTATATTTTATTTGTGGAGCTGAGGTTCACGCCGTTTAAGAGTGAAAGCTCAAGACTACAGAGCAGTTGACTATGTGAATATTTATTAAAAGAANATAGTGACAGTGAAAGTGAACGTTTGCTGGACTGACACCGCGGCGCTAAAAATGCGCAATATTTGTCGTGACTAAATCTCCCTTAAATTCATGACCGAAAGTTGGTCATCCTAGTGGGAGTGGAGGTATAGCTCCAACTTTCTTGACCTCGGCACTAGATGGAGATGAATTATCAGCTTCACACCCCTGCCACTTTTCCCTCACCCGGGGGAAATATCCCCTCGGCCCCTTATCATCTTCTTCAAAAGTTGTTAGTCGTTCATCGGGTGAAGAAATTCCATCCGCTCCTACAGAACACGAACTGTCACGGTCATCTCTCTCTTAAGGATGTTTTTCCTCTTTCTTAGGTTCCTATGTTTATCTCAGGATTTCGCCACAAGTAAATTAATTTTATTTTACGTTTTTCCTTCCACGGTAAGTGATCAGATGTGGCTTCCGTATAAATTAAAAGATGTAATTGTACAACCGTTATTTTTAGCCTTAAGTTTTGAGAACTGGGTGTCGGAAAATTAAATATTTGAAGCCAAATTATAACAACCTCCTGCTCTTAATGCCTTATAATTCATTCTTTTAGTGTTTTAGTACCATTGGATCTACCCTGAATCAAACGCGCAATTGTCCTTAGAATGTGTTTTCGCAAAATTCATTTATATTTACATATGACAATTTTATTTGAACCGAGTTTGATGTCATGTCCTAGTTACTATGATCGCACTGTTCAAATCCACATAAAGAAAGCAGTCTTCTGGAATATGGCGCCGTGTAGATATTGTGTTAACCGACGTTTCGAAGGAACGTATCACTTCCATCTTCAGGGTAGAAATCCAAGTCTAGAAGTAACTAGTCTGTTAGCACCTGCTGACGCTGGTTCCTCCTCGCGTATTTTCTTCTTCTTTTTTCTTCCACCTTGAAGATGGAGGCGATACGTCCCTCCGAAACGTATGTTAACACAATATCTACACGGAGCCACATCCCAGAAGACTGCAGCTAGACTGAAGAGACTAGAGTGGAGTGTTTTGTAGGGTGAAAATCGGTAATAGTGTAATAATTAGTTGTAGAGTTATTGACCACCTGTAGGTGGTTAATAAATCAAATTACCATTCCGAACCCCGCCTTTAATCACCCATACACGTGAAAATATTAAATATAGATCACACTTTTTGTGTCATATACAATCTCGCCGCGTATTATATAAGATATCCATATATTGTGTTAGACTCTACTGGTAATATTATGTTACACCGTGTTACGTTATGTTACAGGTTGGTTGTAGGAGCGCCTCGTGGTAACTCGACATACCGTAAACATCAGTATATCCATCAGCCAGGAACCGTATATCAGTGTGGCCTGAGAAATGGTGGCAGTTGTGTGCAACTTATTGTGGACCCGTCCGGTAAGTTCTGTAGGCTGATCAGTATCAAGTCTAAGTAATCGGGACTCGTGGGCCGCGCCATAGCTCAAGCGGTTAGTCGCTGGCTTCCCACCGCGGCGGCCCGGGTTCGATCCCGGCTCTGGTCAAGTGGGATTTGTGGTGGACAAAGTGGCGCTAAGGCAGGTTTTCTCCCAGTACTTCGGTTTCCCCTGCCAATCTTCATTCCAGCAATTGCTCCACAATCACCCTCACCTATCATCTGAGGCTGGTACAGTAGGCCAGAAGTGGCCTCAGTACAAGGGACTTAGACCCACCCCACTAGCAATAAAAAAATTTGGGACATGTAAGTTGAAGGGGTACTAGTGACTTTTCTGTAAAGTAATGGTAGCCATAGCAACCATTGAACCTACTTTTAAAGTTTGCATAAAAGCTATTCAGAACACCTGGGAGCATTCAGAATGCCAAGGTGTAAGGAAAACAGGTTGAAACTCTTTGTACTCCAGTTCGGACTAGAATAATCTCATCCTGTTCCACTGGTATATTCCCGATATTTGTCATGTGATGTCTTGATCTAGGTGAAGTGTTCTCAAGTAAATATTTCTGTAACAGAATTTAAAAGATACATGTTCTGTGACAACTTAACTGACAATATATGTTTTCATATGTAAACCAAACCTTGCAAAGAGACTTTGGGCGTACCTTCATAGCACATCGAAGGTTTTCGTCCTTCACTCCATGACGATTCATTGGTAAGCTACAACGAATCATGTTATTAAATTTGAATTACATTCGGACCGACATAAGGACAGAACAGTTATATAACTTTCCGATTAAGATTTGCTTTAATTTATTTTTAATATTATCGTTTAATGGTATGTAATACAGTCGGGCCTCCCACATGAGTCAGAATGTTTACTTTACGCAGTTCTTGCAAAGAACGCATATCAAAGGAAAACCTTTTGCACGTGTACAAACAGGTTTATAATTTCCAGGTAACCGGAAAGTTGAAGGAAGCAACCTGCAGCACAATAAAAATAACGCGTGGCTCGGAGGAGCCATTGCAGTGCAAAATAGTGGAGATCGGATGGTGGTAAGTGAGCTACCTGCTTGAGCACCGCACGGAAAAGTCAATGTGATTTCCGTAGGTTTCTAACGAGAAGACGGGAGAGTGACGACTTATTACGCCGAGAGAAACAGAGATTTAAGAATGCGATGTTGCCATATGGGATTCATATCTCAGTAACTTAACTCTGGAATACCGTCTGAGAGGATTACATAATGAGGAATTTTATGATTACACACTTCATCGAATTCGTTGTAATCAGATCCAGGAGAATGTGATGGATAGGCATGTCTCACATATGGGAAGATGAGAAATGCGCACAAAATTTTAATTGGGAAATTTGAAGGAGAAAAAAATTGGTAGACCTAGGTTTGAACTAGATGATAATACAAAAATGAAGTTTGAGGGTGTGGATTTGAATCAAATTTCCCACAATAGGGCTCAGCCCCGTTGCTGTGAAAGCGGTAATGAACAAGTCGGGTTCCATAAATGGGCGGAAAGTCAGCAAATGAGGCAGTACGTACTCGGCTCCAGCCAGTTACATAGTTATCGTTGTTTTGTGTGTTAGAATAAGTGCTAACTGTCTAGAAGCAGGTCTAGATCTCGAAAATTTAACACGATTATTGCCAAGTTCAGATTATCTCCCGTCCTCGTATCGCAGTTACCTATGATCCTTATTCAATTTTACAAGATTTTACAATCTTGTTCCTGCTCTTGTAAGTAACAAATTTCTAAGAGATTTCCTCGTAAAACTGTTGCATTAATTTTTCATCCCTCCACACAAGTGACATGTGACTATTTTAACGATATTATCTGACCTGTATAAACCCAAAGTTTATGTTGCGTAATATCCCAAATTTATTACTTAATTACTATTAGTTGCAAACAGATATCTTAACATTCTGATTTCGGACATTTTTAATTTGTGAAGAGGATGGTATTCCGGGTAATATCGCAATGTAGTTCGGAGGAAGGCCGACGGTTTAGAGGAAATTATATATCTCCAGGGATGAATTATAAGTCAACCACAAAACCAACAGAAGCAGGCGCCAAGGCTAATTTCTTGCTTGGCCTAAATTTCTACCCTGAAGATGGAGACGATATGTAACTACGCTCCGCTACAACCCAGAACACCGTGTTCGTAGTTACCGCTATGACAACTTCAAATAAAACATTTAGTTTTATGTAAGATTTGAGGTTTTTACGGCGGTGACTGTGAAGAAAGCAGTTTATTTCCAAGATTAGTCTGCTTACACCTGTTCTCACTGTCTCTTCGCTTGCGGATTTTCTTATTTTTCCTTCTACCCTGAAGATGGAGGCAATAAGTTCCTCTGAAACTTCGGTTAGCACCACATCCACACGGTGCCACATCCCAGAAGACTGCTTTCTTCATTTAGTTTTATGTTCCTCCCTCGAAGGGAAGACAACGTTATGCACCCTTTCAAAACAAGTGATGCTTTAATTTTATTTAATTATGAATTTAGTGTAGATCATTATCAGTTGCCAGCTGGCTACCCCCACCTTAGTCGGCCATCTTGACGTTAAGTGATGGGCCTACAAGCATGTATCTTGAAGTCTAATGAGGCGTAACGCGAGCAAATGCCAAATACTTGTCCAAAGACAACGCCTCAAATTTCGTACGATTTTCGTTTTCCAGATTTGCGCTCCACGATGGAAGAACGCCTACAATTCCAATTACTACCTCATGAATGGTATCTGCTACTGGACAGACAACACGACGGACGTGGAAGCTTCCATGGAGACCATAATGCCACTGGTCGACTTCCGTAAGTAGAAGACATGAGAAAGGAGAACGTAGGTGCCCCTGATCCCAATCACTGCTTCCCAAAAGCTTATATTTGGCGTCGAGATACAGATGCACAGAGTCCCATGTATCTTGGTAATGGATGGATCTTCATGCCCCAACTTCGAAGAAGCCTCTGGTATGCATTTGATGGAAGGCTGCTTTATCTCCACGGCTGGTGTGGGTGTGTTAGCGAACCTGACTGACAAGCATTCACCCAGTTACTTTAATGAATAACTTACCCCCACTTCCATACATCATCATGATCATCATCATCGAGCTTTCTTTGAGCCATGACAGTTCTTGAAAGAATCTGCCATATTTGTCCATTCCTATGAATTACACGTAGACCATCCGGTTTTCACTTCCTTCTATTTCGCAACAGTTTTCCTTTTACACAGCAAGGTCGTCAGTCTTGCGTCCGACGCCGAAGCTGGAGGATCAGGTCTCTGTGTTATTTCTTTTTCTCAGTGGGTGAGACTGAGTCCACTTGGTACTGCGACCACTGTTTGGCCTATTGTACCAGCCCCAGATGACAGATGGTGGAGATTGTGGAGCAATCAGTGGAATGCGAATTGGCAGGCGAAACCGAAGTACTTTGAGGAAACGTGCCCCAGTGCCATTTTGTTCACCACAAATCCCACATGTTCTGATCTGAGCTTGAACACCAGGTCGCCGCGGTGGGAAGCCAGAGACTAACCGCCTGAGCTCTGGCATGGTCCTAGGTCTCTGTGTTTATGCCCCGTAGTGAAATAATGGTCCAGTTATACCCCAAGGCACCGGGTTCCCTGTACTCCACAGTGTCTATACCGGCTCTGACCCCCCCCCCAGCCTCATAGCCAATGGACATCGAAGGCTCTTTACCTGGGGGTAAAGCGTCATTAGCGTGAAGCTGACCACTCACCTCCATCTAATGCCGAGGTCAAGAATGGTGGAGCTATATCTCCACTCCCGCATATGTCTTTATGGCATAGTGCTTAATTAATTGCGCACAGGGAAAAAATTACGTTTCTTTACCTTAATTTCAGTTCATAGCAGGAAAATTATATCTTATACCAGATCAACACGAATCTAAAATCGAAAGATTTACATTACAGTTAAAGCTGAAAGTGGTAAAGAAAATGAGTCAGGCTGACACGTCTATTAAAGATTGAAACTGCAATCGTAACATTGCGCGTCCTGACGCTGTGGCCAGAAGAAACTTCCTCCAGGCCTGTCTTTGGAATGGGAAATTGTCGAACACGCCTAAAACTGGTCAGTATTCCAGTAGCAGATAAATGGCATGGAAATTATTAACTGATATACTAGAGTCTGGGGAAGACAGGGATACCAAGCCAAGGGTAGTATCGAATATCAGCCTAAGGAAAGGTAACTTAATTTTATTCCGAATCATTATTTTCCGAAGCGTGTAATGGGTATCCATATTATACACACCGCGTGGAATTATTTAATTTATTTCTGAATTTACTGTAAAGTTGTGGAATTAACACATGTAGATTATCAGACTAAAGGATAATTTGAACTTATGTTCCTTTTAGAATTACGAAATGTAGACTGCAATTATAATTAATGTAATTTTTTCAAATTTGACTGTTTTCTTTCGTCACTATTTTCCCAATCATTTGTTCGACTAAACACTGGTACTTTGTTTCAGGTAAACAATCCGAAATATATCACTCCCATGTGTACTTCTACTATGCTTACGGAGAAGCAGGTTTCACTGTACACTTCCCACAGGTACGAGTATGTTTCATGTTGTGAGGGTTTCATTTGATATTAATTGAATTAGATTGTTCCCAAACACTACTGTGGAGCTACACCTCTACGCTAAATCGGTGTTTACACCACTGGAGTATAAATGCACTTTCAACTCTTTTATATACCTCATAGCTCTTCTAAGTACAAGTATATTGCTGCAAAACCCTTCGCACTAACTTACAAACATTACAGGGAACAGAAGCAAAAATTATTTTTATTGTTCTTTTTAATTGTTCTCCTTATCAATAGAAGATTTAAACAAGATTTGTAGATTCTAATGATATGTGTCTATGTATAATTTACAAAACTTTTGTATGATGAACAAGTTTTAATGAAGCGAAAAGTTTTTTGTTGCTCTCAATCCAGAAATACGATTAGACTGTGGCGATCCAGAATTAAATTTGTTCAACAATCTTCGTTGGATGAAAATTTTTTTTTATTATTTCTTGCAAATTTACAATCTACTCCATAGTAGCAGCATGAGTAATTAGTAAATGGTTTAAAATTCGAAGGCTTGTGACGGGTACCATTCAGTAATGATTCTCCGTATGGTCACACTTCATCGAGAAGGTCTTCTGGCCAGATTTTTTTCAGTCTTCTTTTTTCTAAGGGTTAAGTGTATAGGTCACTTATGAGCTGGTTTACATGCTCTGTTGTTCGGTCTTTGTATCTGTTTATGTTTGACTTGATTTCATCTTGTATTGATGGTATCTTGAAGTCTTCATGTAAAGTTTGGTTAGAGACGTGCCATGGTGCTCCAGATATCATACGGAGTGTTTTGGATTGGAATGACTGAAGGATTTTGGTAGTTGATGGTTTACTACAGTCCCATAGTTCTATACCATATGTCAAAATTGGTTTGATTATGCATGGTTGGATGAAATGCAATCGAAATATGTCCATTATTTTCGGAGATGAAATACAATGCATGCAGACGGACAGATAGACGAAAGCACGAGCTGAGGTAACTTCCTTATGGTGCTTTCATTTTTTGTATTTTCTGCAAACAACACATAATAACGGACATTTTGTTATGAAATCATGCTCGATGAAGCACATAAAGAAGCATGTTTCTTGAGATCTGAGACATATTTTTAAATTCTTCTGGGTTCTGCGTGGACATCAAATTTCTTTAGTGTCGTGTACTTTCCTTTTATAGGACACGAACCACATAGAAAAACACGCGTCCTTCAGTTCTTCTTTGTTATATGTTTATTCATTGCGGCAGTACCGAGCCGTTGCCTAGCAGCGATAGGAGGGATACACATACAGACACACAGACTGATGGGAGGGATTTATGAAGTACGCCGCTGTGGTGGGTTCAGGTGCCATGATATATATATTGAATTCCATAAAGACTGGTTCAGGCATTCAGAAGATGATCGAAGGATAGATACACAAGCCTACTTTTATTTTTTCAAAATAAGAAAGTAGGCCAAAAATTATCTCAAGATAACTAGACTGTGTTTTTACTTTTCAGGGTAGCAATGAATTCTTGTTAGGTGCACCTGGCTTACTTGACTGGCGAGGTAAGTTGATCCTGCTCTGTTCCTTTCGAAATATTCCTTCATTTTGCTCTTTAAGAAGCAAAAACCCCAAAATAAGACAAAATTCCTCAATATGTTCACTGCCTTATTTCAGGTACAGTCATTAGAATGAGAGACGGAGAGTTCTCAAGTGGATCACCGCGCAGGCGCAGGAGCCAGGGAAACTACTATTTTGCTGAAGTTCCCAACGCTCTGAAATCAAGTGGAATTCCTTTGAATAGTTACTTGGGTAAGTGAAGTATTACAAAACGATTTGACAGCACTGTCCAGTGTGACAATATATATTTATTTTTAAGTGGACTACAGCGCTTGATATTAGCGCACATCAGAACAGTGTAGCAGTTTCGATAAACTGAGACACCAGAAGATGGCCGTCTGTGGCCGAAACGTCTTGTGTTAAGTGCTAAATTGTGAAAGTGGAGAAATAAAAAGAAAGAAAGAGTTGTTGCATTATTGACGGACTGTGATATATATAGATGTTGATCAAAGATATGTAACAGGATGCTGAAATACAGAATTTATTTATATAAAGCCTTTACATGTTTCGGTCAGTTGTGATCATCTTCAGAAGGCAATAACATGTTAAGGTACTACTATTATATAAATCATAATACGTATGCTTAAACTTTTGTATAATTTTTAATTATTAAGTTAAGAGGCGTTCGAGTTAATAATATATTCTTAATATTCTTAATATTTAAAATCTTGAACCGCCGAGGCTTGTGTCTTCGTGCCTCTTCTGTCAGAACTGGAGATTGGAGTGTTATTATTAACATTTGTTATTGTTCTGCGTATTGTTGTACGCATTAACCAGCAACGGGCTATTTACCAAGAATTTCTCTCCGTGTTTACATGTTTATCGAGTCGTTGCGTAGCAATGGATATACACGTTACAATATCTTAACTATTGATATCATCGTTAAGTAAACAGTAAAGAAATAGATCATACCATCATCACACCGTGATCCTCAGACCATATCTGTCATACCCATCCATATCTCCATGTCATCAGCATCGCAACATGATAGTCATCATCACAAAGTCATAATCATTCACACCACCTCATGCTCTCCGCCTATATGCTGGCCCACTGACGGTCTCGTCCCATTCCTGTCTATATGTTCAGCGACCGACGTTTCTTCTTCTGCGCGGTGCGTGGTCTCCATCAGCTGCTGGGTTGGCGGTATGACTGAGATATCCGTCAAGTTCTGGTTTCGATTAGAGCTGAAGAAGTTTGGTTCTGTCTCCCTTCCTTCTATACCCACTCCTCTGTACCATAGAAATGTCGGTCCAGCTGCTTGTAGTCTTGCATTCTGAAATACCCGAACTTCACGGTTACAGCCGCTTTTGTTGTTATGGGGGCCCTGAAAAAATTAAAACGTGGAATAACAACTTTAAGTTATGAGAATTATTTATTTTGCTTCTCTTATTTCTTATAATAAGTAAAACTGGAGTCGGGATGATAATATCACATATTTTAAGGGATTAGAACTCAGTGGTGAGTTATTACTCTTAAGAAAACGGTAACTGAATATTTTGGTTCTATAAAAGGCGAATAAGGAGCCGGGATAGCGCAGTCAGTATAGCGACTGGCTACGGGCTCGACAACCGAGGGATGGGAGTTCGAGTCCCGGTAGGGTCGAGAATTTTTTCTTCTCCACGTCGTCGAGACCGGCTCTTAGGCCCACCCAACCTCCTATCCAATGGGAATCGGGGGTAAAACGGCTGGGGCGTGAAGCTGACCACTCACATCCAACTAGTACCGAGGTCAAGAAAATGAAGATCTATACGCCCACTCCCCCATACGCCTTCATGGCGTAGTGCTTAATTAGTTCAGCACAGAACGAATTTATCTTTTTTTATAATAAATAAAACTACGAACAAAGTTTTCGTGATTTTAAAGAAACAAATATCTCAATAAAATATGTGAATTTTGTTTCTGTTTCGTGGGGGGTCCCGCGACTTCCCCCCCCCACTCAAATAGTGTCCTCTTCTCAGCCATATTTTGTGAGTTCCTTTCAACTCAACGGCACGTGAAAATAATTTTACTCGCCTACAGTAAAAATGAGTTTTGGGTCCTCTTCAGGCACTCCATAAACAAACCCAGATATCCCCACATTGCCGTTGTTCCATATACAGAGTGTAGAAATGGCGAACCTTTGTACAGACGTTAGGTCGTGCAAAATGTAACTGGCCAAGACATTTCGACCCAGCGGAGCATTACCGTGTTTGCATGAGCCCACCACTGGACCATATCACGGTACATGCACTAACATCCGATGAATTTAATGTCCGTTTTAATATCGACCCGTGTTCGCTTTAGTTCTCTCCTATGAGATTCCATGACTAAAATTTTGTTCATAATTCCATCATCATCATCATCATCATCATCATCATCATCATCATCATCATCATCATCATCATCATGCGTGCTACATATCCTGCCCATCCCACGATCTAGATGCCATCGTTTTAATAATGCCTGTTAAAAGGTTGTGAATTATGAATATATTGATTTTTAAATTTTCTCAAATTTGCTATAAGTTTCTCCACGTATTTTTCAAATGCTATAATCACTAAATAACTTCGGAAGTTATTCTGAGTCACTGAATAAGCCGGAGCTCAATAAATAAACACATTAAGTAAATAAATAGATTCATAACCAGATAAGGGAATCAACCAGTTTAATTAGAGCCATACGTGGACATCAGTTAAGGCATTTCGATTAAATGTGATTTAGTGGATCGCCTCTAAAAGCTCCGTAATTCGAAATCCCTGCAGAAATGTTCCTACTGCTGCTGTTATAGACTTTTCTTCTGCTATGGTTTCGATAGGCGTCGGATGAGAATTAAGTCCTATTATTATCTGAATTTATCTAATGCTTCAAGTTATTTGTACCCCGTATATTTTGGTAATCTAAACATATAAACCTCTGGATTCTTATGTTTCATTAATATTCGCTTTACCTGAATAACAAGACAGCGATTCAAGTAGCAACTTGAGACACATAACTTGCTAATTAGTACCATATTTATGTTTCAGGATATTCTCTGAGCTCAGGAAGGTTTCTCAGTGCTCGACCCACCCACCTGTACGTGAGTGGGGCTCCGAGGGCAAATGACTATAAAGGCAAGGCAAGTTACACAAGATAGACTTACTCGTAGCATCAGTCCCAGCTGTTTGCTTCTCTGCGCTCTCCAGAAATTTCTACAGAACGTTAATAGGGCTACCTTCTATCTATCTATGGCTGCAGAGCCCTTATGGACCTTAACCGCCCTGTTCAGTTTCTTAATTTATAAGCAGTTGATAGGATTCCTTGAACAGGGGATCAACCCGTCGCAAGGCCGCTACCTACGCACACATACCAACACAAACACAGAATAAACGTACACAGATATCAATGCCTCGAGTTGGATTCGAACCCACGATCCCAGTGTTCGAGCGGGGCTGAGACGGTTCATGCCTTAGACCGCGCGGCCACTGGGGCTATTAATACTTATAATACTTCTTGTTTTTCTTCAGACAGCTCTAATACCTGTTTCTTTTTTCATTGTATTCTGTCATTTTCTACGATTAATATGTGCCTACAGGAAGAGTATAATGGCCAAGCGCGATCAGTTATACCCACCGCCTGCCTCAATTTCTCTTCATCTCAGAATAATATGTGGACTGCACAAAGGGGCGTATATATATTGGTTTGCTTTATGATGAAAGAACTTGCTCTAGTACCTGCAATAATGCCCTGTAGTTTCATTGTGTATGCAGAAGTATCAGTACAACTTTGGTCACAGATGAGATATCACGCATCACACTGACTGGTTTAGGATTCATATGGAAATTTTAGGATAATTTGATGTTTTAGGTGTATCTGTTCGACTTTCCGGATAATCATGAAGACGAGGACCTGAAAATCATTAGAGATCTGGACGGGACACAAATGGGCGAGTATTATGGAGCAGCCTTGTGCGTTGTGGATTTGAACGGGGACCATCTGGACGACTTGGTGGTCGGAGCGCCTCAGTTTTCCCTTCAGGCAGCTAACTCGGCTCAGCTGGTCGGAGATGAGGGGCGCATTTACGTCTACATCAACGGTGATCGCGTGAGTGGATGTGTTCTTGTCGAAGCAACTATTTTCGAAACTACCTAAAACCGAGTTGTATTTTTCACCAGTACTGTTAGCTTGATTAAGTCAGGAATGATAACACAGTTGGGGCATTATGATACTCTTGGAGAGAGGTGAGCCCTGCGCAAATATAATAATCTAAAAGAGTGAAAGCACAAGAAGAGTTGCGAGGCTTAAGCATATATGGGAAGATAATTTCACATATTTTAAGGAAATAGAACTTAGCGGTGAGTTAGGACTCTTATGAAAAAGGTAACTAAATATTTTGCTTTTATAAAAGGCGGATAAGAAGCCGGGATAGCGTAGTCGGTTTACCGACTGGCTACAGGCTGGATGACCGAGACGTGGGAGTTCGAGTCCCGGTATGGTCAAGAATTTTCTTTTCTCCACGTCGTCCAGACCGGCTCTGGGGTTCATCCAGCCTCCTATCCAATGGGAACCGGGGGCTCTTTCCCCGGGGCTAAAGGGGCCGGGACGTGAAGCTGACCACTCAACTCCAGCTAGTGCTGAGTTCAAAATAACGTGGGTCTATACATCCACTCCCCCATACGCCTTCATGGCGTAGTGCTTAATTAGTTAAGCACGGTGACGACTTTACCTTTTTAAAAGGTGAATATTTCTTGGCCAGTTCAGAAATTGTCAAGTTCTCAAGAAGACCTTAATTCATAGGCTTTCTTGTCGCTAGTGGGGTGGGACT